TCCTCCTGCGTGAGCTAGAGCAGCGTCGCCAGGCCCGCTTAGTACACTTGGCCTCTGGTGCCAACACAGCTGGTAGAGTATCTTTACTAAGGCACTTGCATCTAAAGATCATCAGCGGCACTGTTTGCAGCTTGGTCTAGTTCCTGTAGCTACTCACTTGCTAGGACCTTGATTGTGTTCTCCTCTTTATCTATACATTTCTGACTGACCTTGTGGCTTCGCCTCTAGTGGTCTGACTAGTAGTGCCGCCCTGGTTTGCTCTTTTCTTGTTTGTACTCTTGCTGACTTGTCTTCGGACCCCAGCGTAGGCGGTTGGACTAGTAGTGTCACCCTGAGCTGCGTGTTTCTTGCTCAGCACTGCCCCTTATCTAGCCTAGGGGGTGTGTCAACTTATACATATATTTGTATGTAGAAGTTATTGGCTAGATAGGGTTTGTGTTCTTATAAGGTACAATTCCAACCCTATGTCTCCCTTGTTCTCTCTTGTTTCTAGTCAATTCTATTCTAGCACAAACTCCCCTCGCACGTGCTCTATCGCGACTCCATTTTGACGTGTAATTCTACTAATCACACCCCTCACACGTGCTCCAACATGCCGAGTTCGGAGTGAGGGAGAGGGGTGGGGGGGGGAGGGGGGGGGTGTCCTGTATCAGGATACAAATTTGTTAAGATTGATTATTCAGGGTACACGAAACGAGAACAGGTACTATAAAAATCAGGACAAGGGAAAATCAAAACCTGAAAAAACAGGTCGACCCCTGAAAAACACCCTGATATGTTAGAATGCTAGAATGACTAGAATGAGAGAGTACAAGGGAATATAGGCTAGTGTGTTGTACCCTCAAAGGCACAAACCTATACAGTCTACAATAATATACTAAGTTATGTTTTGACACACCCCCTAGACTGTATAGGGGTAGTGCCGAACAACCGGACAAGCAGCTCAAGGCGGTACTAGTCCAGCCTCTGAGGCAAGGGTCTAAAGACCAGTCAAACGAGTACAGACCAAGGCAAGAGCAAGGCCAGGGCGGCACTACTAGTCCAGCCACTAGGAGAGGCCACAAGGCCAGTCAGGGTAATATATATATAAGGGTCTGTACACAATCAAGGCACTAGCAAATGAGAGGCTACAGGAACAAGACCAAGCTCTACACAGTGCCGCTGATGATCTTTAGGCGCAAGCACCTTCGTAAAGATATCAGCCGTGTTGGCACCGGAGGCCAAGTAAACTACACGGGCCTGGCGGCGCTGCTGTAGCTTGCGCAGAAGGAAGTACCGTAGCTGGATGTGCTTCGCTCTGCCCTCAAGTCGAGGCTCCTGACACAAGAGTATCATGGCCCTGTTGTCAGCGTACAAGACCAGGGCAGAGCTAGGCCGCTCACCTAAGTCGGTGAGCAAGAAGGTCAGCCAGCGGAGCTCTTGTGCCACCATGGCACCGACGTAGATCTCAGCCTCGCAGCTGGACTGGGCAACAAACGAGGAGCGGGTAGCTCTCCACGAAACAGCACCTGAGCCAAGGCTAAAGCAGTAGCCCTCGGAGGACCTGAGGGTCTCAGCGTCGTCTGCCCAAGAAGCGTCTGTGTGCACAGTAAAACCACTGGCCTGCGTCCTCCCAGCACTAGCCCCATGCCCGATGTACTTGCAAGATAATGCAAAACCCTTCTAGCGGCCGACCAGTGCTGTGGTCGGTATCTGCCTGTGGCCACAAAGCGAACCAGGATGCTGAGAGGGTATGCGAGATCTGGGCGAGTGCAAGTCATCACGTACATCAGGCAACCCACCAACTCAACGTAAGGACCACTGGGATCTGCAAACTCCTCAAGAACAGGAATTGAGAGCCTGTGGTCTACTGGCAGAGGTGTGGGCTGTGCGGAGGAGAACTGAAGAACGAACTGCTGAAGGACCATGCGCACCAAGTGTGACTACGAGAGAGTGATGGTGCGCGTTGCTCTGTCCCTGGAGATCTGCAGGCCAAGGTAGTGGCGCATTTCTCCTAGGTCAGTGCACGTGTGTCTCTTCAGCAGTCTGCCTTCACGAAGGCCAGCGCGTCCCTGTCTGCAATAGCGAAGACCAGGTGGTCTACGTAAACAAGGATGTAGAACGGGGTCTGGCCAACACAAACAAAGAGCGAGAGGTCGGCCAAGGACGGAAAGAACTGCAGGTCAACTAGGGTAGCACGTAGCGTGTCGTGCCACTCACGAAGTGCCTGTCGCAGGCCGTAGACTGGGAGCCGCAGAAGCCACTAGGTCCCAGGAGGGAAGGTACCAGTAAAGCACTGAGGGCGGTGCAGGTAGACCTATTTGTGTAGGCCAACCTGAAGAAACGCTGTGGAGAAGTCGAGGGAGTGTAACTTGTAGTCGCGCTGTGCTGCTACGTGTAGCAGCACCCGAAGAGTATTCATCTTCAGGGTCGGTGCGAAGGTCTGAAAGAAGTCCACCCCCTCACGCTGACTGAAGCCTCTAGCCACGTAGCGCGCCTTGAACACATGCAGCTCTCCAGAGGGGCGCTTCACCTTGAAGAGCCAGCAGCCATCGACTACGTTCACCCCGCGTGGGGGAACTGCATCGACGTAGGTGCCTGTGGATCTCCAAGATGCCATCTCCTCCTCCATGGCAGCTATCCACTGAGAGGCCCAGGGTCCCGAGGTGGCCTCAACGTAGGTGCAAGGGGTCGGGATGTCGAAAGCGTATGGGTCACCCTTAGGGACTAGTAGCATGGAGCAGAGATGGGGAGCAGCCTCATACAGGAAAGCAAGCTCGTACTGCCGGTCCTCCAAAACGTCACTGCCGAGGGCAGGAGCACCCCCGATGGACGGAGGACAGGGAGGGTCAGAGACCAGAGCGGTGCGTAGTCCAGGCGGCAGGTAGAGGCAAAGTCAGCGACAAGAGCGTCGAGCCGTGAAACAGGAACAAACGGATCGGTAAAAAGAGAGGCAAAGACCCGAGAAACAAGGGGACGAGAGGCATGAAGGTAGTAAGACAGAGGGGGAGGCGCGACAGCAAGTGAGGATGGAGGAGGCGACGGCAGGAGGGGAGGACGAGACATGTGGGAACGAAGCAACATAGGGTGAGAGCGCGGAACAGGGGAGACCGGACGAGCACAAGAGGGACGGCGAGACCAGACGTGTGACGGGGCGTCGAGTCAGGAGACAGAGGAGGGGACACAAGAGGGGAATGTGGGGGAAGACGAAACGGAGACGAGTCTGGAGGAGGGAACACAGGGCCGTAGACAGGAAGAGGAGGAGACGGCAAGAGAGGCGCGGATGCGCGGTCAGGCAAAGTGCACTGAGCGGGCGCACAACCCTGAAAGATAGAGACCGGCACAGTACCGCTGGACTGGGCGATATAGCGCTGGCAGGTGTCTATGGCAGACAGGGTGTTGACAAAGTCAGTGAGGGTGAGGTCTGCGGGGTGGAGACTAAGAAAATGATCGCGAACAGTAGCAAGGCGGTCAGGGAGTCAGGTGGCAAGCAGGTAGAGGGTAGCGCAGAGGGGGGGCTGGAACACGCAAAGCTGGGCCTCAGTGCAGGCAGAGCGCCAGGTCGAGTCTAGCGTGCGCAAGTGGGCGGCTAGGTCAGCGACAGTGGGGAAAGACGCGAGATCAGGAAAAAGCAGGGGCAGGATCAGGCGATCGACGGAGGCAGAGGACGGGGTGGCATAGCGTGAAGTAACAGCCTCTAGGAACTCCTGCGCAGTCCTGACCGACCTAAAGCGGGGACGCTCAGACACAGGAAGGGCATGAATGATGGCGAGTTGTGCGACAGCATCACGCGACAACCAGACTGCACGGGCAAGGGCAGCAGCGGCAGCGGACTCACGATCAGCAGACGTGGGGTCAGCGGGCAGCTCAGCAGGGGGTTCAGGGCAGGGGAGCATACCGTCGATGTGGACCGCCAAGGAGTGGCCCGTCCTGCCGCTGGCCAGTGAGCTGACGACAGAGGTCGACGAGCCACGTGTCGAACTCGATTAGCTTACCCTCCGCGTCAAAGCGTAGCACAGAGTCCGCCTTCAGGGGCGATGCAATTGCGATGCAGTGCAGGACAGCACAATGCGTGGCGGTGCAGGGCGGTGCAGTGCGGGGCAGTGCGGTACAGTACAGTGCAGCGCGGTGCAGTGCGGTGCAGAGCAGCACCGCGGTGCAGAGCGGTGCAGTGTGGTGCTGTGCGGTGCAAAAGCGGTGCAGCGCGGTGCTGGGGCTGGCTGCATGTCAGGGGCAGCTGGGCGACGGGGCCGGGCATGCAGAACGGGTCGGGGAGGGCCGGCCACGGGACAGGCGTGGGCCGGCGACGGAACAAGCGCGGTTTAGCTTTGAGATGGGTGGGGAGCCGGCTACGGAACGGGCGCGGGGGCCGGCTACGGGGCGGGCGCTGGGCCGGCTACGGGACGGGCGCAGGCCGACTACGGGACAGGCGGGGGCCGATGACGGGACGGGCGCGGGCCGTCTGTTGAACATGCACAAGGGCCGGCTACGGGGCGGGCGCGGGGCTGGCTACAGGACGGGCGCGGGCCGGTTACGGGACGAGCGCGGACCGGCTACGGGACGGGCGCGGGCCCGCTAAGGGACAGGCGCGGGCCAGTGATGGGACAGGCGCGGGCCGGCTACGGGACGAGCACGGGCCGGCTACGGAACGGGCGCGGGCTGGTGACGGGACGAGCGCGGGGCCGGCTACGAGACGGGCGCGGGGCCGGCTACGGGGCGGGCGCGGGGCCGGCTACGGGACGGGCGCGGGCAGCTACGGAACGGGCGCGGGGGCTGGCTATGGGGCGGGCGCGGGGCCGGCTACGGGACGGGCGCGGGCCGGCTACGGGACTTGCGCGGGACAGCGGCTGACTAGGGGCGGGCCGGCTAGGGGGAATGGGCGGCTAGGACCTAGGGCGGAAGCGCTGGTGGGCGAACGGGACCTAACCTACTCATGATACCATGTTAGAATGCTAGAATGACTAGAATGAGAGAGTACAAGGGAATATAGGCTAGTGAATAGTACCATCTAAGGCACAAACCTATACAGTCTACAATAACATACTAAGTTATATTTTTACATGATATACAAGCTTGCAGGCCTTTTTGGACCGACTTCTGATCTGAGGCCTTGGCTGCATGCCTCCATGCAGAAGCGCAAGCATATCGCCCACATCGATTCCATCCACTCGTTGGCTTCATTCGCTTTACATCTTCCTTGCATCCTCTCTCATCTCTCGACCAACATCCCTTGCGTTCAATTCTCGTTTTGTGTGAACTTACCATCACCGTGCCTTGAATAGTCAACCCATCAATGCTTTCAATCAACATTAGAGCTCACTGAACGCATCACTTTGATTGAGAGGTCACCCAGCGCTTCCGCACTACAGTTTAAACGACTCCCACACTTGTGATGGCGATTCATTCCATGCTGATTCGTGCGTTATAACCTTCCCAATCTCATTAATCCGAAAGATGTCGTCTGCATGGCGGGAGCAAGAGAGCACGATGGGGATGAGATTCATGAGACCAGCAAGGAGGAATGATGGAGGGGTGGGACCAGCAATGGAGCATGGCACAGCGACGTACGGAAAACGGGAAGGTAAGAATAGTAGAGGGGATAGTAGCAAGATTGCAAAGCAGGAGAGGAGAGAGCAGCAGAGATGGGTAGACGAACAGGGGAGCAGGAATAGACATGCTGGCAAGGCCAACCGGTGTGCATGGCACGGGCAACAGGCACGCATGGCATGGGCAGCAGGCACACATCCCCCACCTCCTGTGATTTCGAACTCCTTCCCCCACCGAGTTCGTCCCCATGTGCTCCACACGCTCCTCACTGCGCCCACTGCCTCCGCCACCCGCCCCTCCAGGCCTGGGCGCGGGGGGAAGGGGGAGAAGGTGCGGGCGCTGGGGGGGACCTGGAGAGTGGGGTGAGAGAAAGGGAGAGGGACTGTGCTAATAAGGGGAGATGGTGAAGCGGTTGGGGGGAAACTGGGGAATGGGATGGGGTGGGGGAGAGGAGTGGTTAGTGGGGAGGAGGAGAGCGCTGGCGTTGCAAAAGGAGCGAGCGGCATGAGCTGCTGTGACTGCCCAAGGCGTTGTGATGAGAGAAGTATGGCCATGGTGAGATCTCGATGAGAGAAGTATGGCCATGGTGAGATCTCGATGAGAGAAGTATGGCCATGGTGAGATCTCGATGAGAGAAGTATGGCCATGGTGAGATCTCGATGAAAGGGATGAGTGAGAGGGGAAGGGGGGACATGGGGAGTGGGAGAGGTAGGGAGCGGGGAGCGAACGAATTGGATACGAAGGCGGAAGGAAGGGAAGGGAAGGGAAGGGAATGGATCGAGGAGGACACCCACCTCATGGTTAACTGACCTCTTCAATGGAGTGCAGCTCGAAAACGACAGACCCGGGTTCGAATCCCACAGCAGTGATCAATCTCAGGCTGCTGATCATGCCTCGGTACAGAATCAGCCCATCCAATCGTGTCACAGGATCCACGAACGCCACGCTGCCATCGTAAACGGACCAATCCAGGTCTCGCTCGTACTGCACTGGCAGGTCCTCCCTTAAAACGCGGATCACCCGCGCCACGCGCCAATCGGACCGCTCCCCATCACCGCTTGCGCCTCCAGCTGCCCCTACGCCTTCCGCCCTCGCTGCTGCGCGCACTAACGAATTGCGCCTCTTCCGCGTTCGCGCGCCGGACGGCTCCCCGCCCTCTCCGCCGTGCCTCGCGTTATCCCTTACGCGCGCTGCTTGCGGCCTCAGGATCCCCGCGCCCTCCCCTCCTCGCGGACCATCGCCGCGCGCCCTTAAGCTTTGGTGAGCTTGCGACACCGGCGCTATTGCCGCCGCTTTCAGAAAGGAACGGCGAGGGGGGATTTGCGGGGATGCGGCATGCGGTGAGGGGGAGCAGAGGCGCATTTGGGTCATGTCAAAGCGCAAGCGGGGGGAGGAGCAAGCAGAGTGGCGGGGAGTTCGTGGCGGGGAGCGAAGCGCCGAAGCAGAAGCGGAAAGGGTTGAGCTTAAGGGCGTGCGCGCGAGTGTAATGGGAGAGTGGATGGCGGAGGCGGGAGGCAAGGGCGCGGAAATGGGTGGACTCGTTGCGAGGATTCGGAGATGGCGAGCGACAGGGTCAAGTGACACGGCGACACTGCCGCAGTGGGTGCGATCTCCACCTTTTTTGTGGCAAAGCGGTTGGAAGGGGTACTGGGGAAGAAAGGAGGTGGTAGAGCGTATGTACGCGATAGAACCATGTTAGGCTTTTTCATTGCAACCTCACCCATGCACACATTTTACGTTATAATTTTTATAAAAGGGATCTGCGCTTCGGCATGGCTCCGTGTTGGCTTGGCTACCTTGCTGGTCATGCACTCTCCCGGATTTGATTGAGCCACCAGTAGCCGAAACTGAAACAAAATGGCCAGGGACGAAACAAAGCTTCGTGAAAACATTTTCCCACCAGCACTTCCGACAACAAATCTCCGCCATATGGAAAGGGAAACGATTTGATTTCATTAATTAAGCACCAGTTGTTTTTTTCAAAGGCATAATCATTACACGCAGAAAATATACGGCTCAAGGGCATCTACACTAATGTACTTCCAGTTTTGTTTGCTCTCTCCCAAATCACCTGGATGGATACCCTATCAGGTGAATTCGTGCAATGTCGTGTTTCAGCTCAGTGGGGGGCGTCATTGTCTTACATCACATGTTATGTAACGGCTCAGGAATGAATATCCTGCAAACAACCACACTACATCAGGCCATAACTAACTGCACCACACCGCACCACATCATCCAACCCAGCCTTCTCTGCTGTTAGCCCCACATTTAGCTCCGAAGAAAAAGAAAATCACCAACCTCATTTCTCGATCCGCTCCCACTACCTCTTGTACATTTGCTCTCCAACCCTGCCCATTCCGTTCGCGCTACTACCTCCTTCCCCGTCTCGCTGCGCACGTCCAATGGCCTTCCCGCCACATCCCGCGCGCCTGCTCGCGCGGCCTCGACCCGCCACAGCGATAACGAGAGCCGCGCAACGCCCGCATTCCTCCCGCCGCCCGCGCGTTCACCGCAGCGGTCTCGCCGCGATCGCCGCGCTCGTCGCGCTGTGTGCGGCGGCGGCGTCCCCGGAGCTGCTAGCGGCGGTGCACGCGGAAGCCATCCAGCCGGTGCCGGGGCTCTCCACGGCCGATGACGTGGCGCTCGCTGAGAGTACGTCGCGGTGTGACTATATCGGACGAATAACGAACCGCGAATCCCTTGCTCGCTGGTAGGAAAGAAAAAATGAGTGACCTAACGAGGCTACACGTTATTTGGTTTTGAAAATGTGCGATCGCATGTGGTTGACGACAGTGGCTTAGAGTCGAGGGGCAGACGAGCAGATATCCGCAGGCCGTCAGATCCGCAGGCCATCAGATCCACAGGGCGTTGCGTCGCGCCCCTGTATGTCCCCATCTCCACTCCCCGCCCTCTCTCCCTCTCGTCCCAACGACGACCGCTCGTCAGACCCCCCTCCTCGTGAACCCACCAGAGGCCGCTCTTGATCCCGCGCCTCCTCTCGCTCGCAAGCGCGCCCTTCAACCACCCCCCGCTCCGCTGGGCGGGATGGGGCAATGTGTCGCAGGAGCGGAGTCGCAGGAGCGGATTCGCAGGGGCGCAGTCGCAGGGGCGGAGTCGCGGGGGCTGAGCGACCAGCAGAGCAACGGCCACACTCCCCCCTCCCCCGTCCTCCCCAACCCATCAGAGGCCGCCCTTCTCTCCCTCGCCCACGCCCTCACCAACCACCCCGCAAGGCGTGGGCGGGTGTGGGGGGTGGGGGGGGGCGTGTCGGTGTCGCACCGGTTGAGCTTCAGCGACAGCAAGCACCACCGTCTCCCCCGCTCCCTCCCCGTCCTCCCCCCCCCTCCGTTCCCCCCCCCCCCCCTCCCCTCGCTCACCTCCTCGTGATCCCACCAGAGGCGGCCCTGCTCTCCCTGGCGAGCGCCCTGAACAACCACCCCGCGTTCGCGTGGGCGGGGTGGACGAGCGCGTCGCAGGGGCTGAGCGCCAGCGACAGCAAGCCGTGCGTGCAGTTCTGGGAGTTCCTCTCGTGCGACTCCGACGGGCGCGTCTCCAGCATGTGAGTGCGACGCGCATGGCATGTGAGTGCGACGCGGATGGCATGCGAGTGCGAGGCGGCCGAACATGCGAGTGCAAGAACGCTAGAAACGCCCTCCCTTTCCATCCCCCATCTCCCTCTCCCCCTCCCCCTCCCCCCATTCTCCCCTGCTCCCCGTCTCCCGCCCCCCCCCAACCCTTCTGTTCCTCCATCTTGCCACTGTCGCCACCATGCTCACCTCCGCAACCCCCCTCCCCCGTTTCTCCTTCCCCCGTCCCCAGTTTCCCCCTCCCCTCATCCCCCGTCCCCAAGTTGCCCCTCCCTCTTTCCCCCTTCCGCCCTCCCCACTTTCCCCTTCGCCCTTTTCCCCTCTCCCCTCTCCCGCTCTCTCCCCAGCAACATTGATAACCCGACTCTTGGCACGATCAACGCATCATGGGCCAATCAGAAGGCGCCAGGTGGCCTGTCAGGGAGCATTCCCTGGGACTCCCTCACAGTGCTGCAGCGCCTGCAGGCCGTTGATCTGTCGGGCAACTCCATCTCTGGCCCTCCGTTCACGCCTGCCATCTCACAGTTCACTGAGCTCAGGGAAATGTGAGTGCGGGGGATGCAAGTGAGCGAGATGTGAGTGCGGGGGATGTGAGTGAAGGGACTCTGCGAATGGGAAATTTGAGAGGGGGAAATTTGAGAGGGGGAAATTTGAAAGGGGGGGGGGTTGAGTGTGAGTGGGGGCAATGTGGGTGTGGGCGGGGGTTAAGGTGATGATGAAGGAATGAGAGTGAGGTGGAAGAATGTGAGTGAAATATGGGAGATGTGAGTGAGACCCTTACAACCCCTCAACGCACACCCACTCAAACCTGAACCCTCACCTCCCCATCCCTAACCCGTTGACCCTGACCTCCCCTCCCCAACTCTCCGGTGACCTCCTCCCTGCACCCTTGCTGCCTGCCTGCACCCCTGCTGCCTGCTTGCTCCCGTGCTGCCTGTCTGCTCCCGTGCTGCCTGTCTGCTCCCATGCTGCCTGCTTGCTCCCGTGCTGCCTGTCTGCTCCCGTGCTGCCTGTCTGCTCCCGTGCTGCCTGTCTGCTCCCGTGCTGCCTGTCTGCTCCCGTGCTGCCTGTCTGCTCCTGTGCTGCCTGTCTGCTCCCGTGCTGCCTGTCTGCTCCCATGCTGCCTGTCTGCTCCCATGCTGCCTGCTTGCTCCCGTGCTGCCTGTCTGCTCCCGTGCTGCCTGTCTGCTCCCGTGCTGCCTGTCTGCTCCCGTGCTGCCTGTCTGCTCCCGTGCTGCCTGTCTGCTCCCGTGCTGCCTGTCTGCTCCCGTGCTGCCTGTCTGCTCCCGTGCTGCCTGTCTGCTCCCGTGCTGCCTGTCTGCTCCCGTGCTGCCTGTCTGCTCCCGTGCTGCCTGTCTGCTCCCGTGCTGCCTGTCTGCTCCCGTGCTGCCTGTCTGCTCCCGTGCTGCCTGTCTGCTCCCGTGCTGCCTGTCTGCTCCCGTGCTGCCTGTCTGCTCCCGTGCTGCCTGTCTGCTCCCGTGCTGCCTGTCTGCTCCCGTGCTGCCTGTCTGCTCCCGTGCTGCCTGTCTGCTCCCGTGCTGCCTGTCTGCTCCCGTGCTGCCTGTCTGCTCCCGTGCTGCCTGTCTGCTCCCGTGCTGCCTGTCTGCTCCCGTGCTGCCTGTCTGCTCCCGTGCTGCCTGTCTGCTCCCGTGCTGCCTGTCTGCTCCCGTGCTGCCTGTCTGCTCCCGTGCTTGGCCTGTCTGCTCCCGTGCTGCCTGTCTGCTCCCGTGCTGCCTGTCTGCTCCCGTGCTGCCTGTCTGCTCCCGTGCTGCCTGTCTGCTCCCGTGCTGCCTGTCTGCTCCCGTGCTGCCTGTCTGCTCCCGTGCTGCCTGTCTGCTCCCCGTGCTGCCTGTCTGCTCCCGTGCTGCCTGTCTGCTCCCGTGCTGCCTGTCTGCTCCCGTGCTGCCTGTCTGCTCCCGTGCTGCCTGTCTGCTCCCGTGCTGCCTGTCTGCTCCCGTGCTGCCTGTCTGCTCCCGTGCTGCCTGTCTGCTCCCGTGCTGCCTGTCTGCTCCCGTGCTGCCTGTCTGCTCCCGTGCTGCCTGTCTGCTCCCGTGCTGCCTGTCTGCTCCCGTGCTGCCTGTCTGCTCCCGTGCTGCCTGTCTGCTCCCGTGCTGCCTGTCTGCTCCCGTGCTGCCTGTCTGCTCCCGTGCTGCCTGTCTGCTCCCGTGCTGCCTGTCTGCTCCCGTGCTGCCTGTCTGCTCCCGTGCTGCCTGTCTGCTCCCGTGCTGCCTGTCTGCTCCCGTGCTGCCTGTCTGCTCCCGTGCTGCCTGTCTGCTCCCGTGCTGCCTGTCTGCTCCCGTGCTGCCTGTCTGCTCCCGTGCTGCCTGTCTGCTCCCGTGCTGCCTGTCTGCTCCCGTGCTGCCTGTCTGCTCCCGCCCTGCTCCCGTGCTGCCTGTCTGCTCCCGTGCTGCCTGTCTGCTCCGTCCCCCCCGTGCTGCCTGTCTGCTCCCTGTGCTGCCTGTCTGCTCCCCGTGCTGCCTGTCTGCTCCCGTGCTGCCTGTCTGCTCCCGTGCTGCCTGTCTGCTCCCGTGCTGCCTGTCTGCTCCCGTGCTGCCTGTCTGCTCCCGTGCTGCCTGTCTGCTCCCGTGCTGCCTGTCTGCTCCCGTGCTGCCTGTCTGCTCCCCGTGCTGCCTGTCTGCTCCCGTGCTGCCTGTCTGCTCCCGTGCTGCCTGTCTGCTCCCGTGCTGCCTGTCTGCTCCCGTGCTGCCTGTCTGCTCCCGTGCTGCCTGTCTGCTCCCGTGCTGCCTGTCTGCTCCCGTGCTGCCTGTCTGCTCCCGTGCTGCCTGTCTGCTCCCGTGCTGCCTGTCTGCTCCCGTGCTGCCTGTCTGCTCCCGTGCTGCCTGTCTGCTCCCGTGCTGCCTGTCTGCTCCCGTGCTGCCTGTCTGCTCCCGTGCTGCCTGTCTGCTCCCGTGCTGCCTGTCTGCTCCCGTGCTGCCTGTCTGCTCCCGTGCTGCCTGTCTGCTCCCGTGCTGCCTGTCTGCTCCCGTGCTGCCTGTCTGCTCCCGTGCTGCCTGTCTGCTCCCGTGCTGCCTGTCTGCTCCCGTGCTGCCTGTCTGCTCCCGTGCTGCCTGTCTGCTCCCGTGCTGCCTGTCTGCTCCCGTGCTGCCTGTCTGCTCCCGTGCTGCCTGTCTGCTCCCGTGCTGCCTGTCTGCTCCCGTGCTGCCTGTCTGCTCCCGTGCTGCCTGTCTGCTCCCGTGCTGCCTGTCTGCTCCCGTGCTGCCTGTCTGCTCCCGTGCTGCCTGTCTGCTCCCGTGCTGCCTGTCTGCTCCCGTGCTGCCTGTCTGCTCCCCCCCCCCCCCCTCCCGTGCTGCCTGTCTGCTCCCGTGCTGCCTGTCTGCTCCCGTGCTGCCTGTCTGCTCCCGTGCTGCTGTCTGCTCCCGTGCTGCCTGTCTGCTCCCGTGCTGCCTGTCTGCTCCCGTGCTGCCTGTCTGCTCCCGTGCTGCCTGTCTGCTCCCGTGCTGCCTGTCTGCTCCCGTGCTGCCTGTCTGCTCCCGTGCTGCCTGTCTGCTCCCGTGCTGCCTGTCTGCTCCCGTGCTGCCTGTCTGCTCCCGTGCTGCCTGTCTGCTCCCGTGCTGCCTGTCTGCTCCCGTGCTGCCTGTCTGCTCCCGTGCTGCCTGTCTGCTCCCGTGCTGCCTGTCTGCTCCCTTGCTGCCTGTCTGCTCCCGTGCTGCCTGTCTGCTCCTGTGCTGCCTGTCTGCTCCTGTGCTGCCTGTCTGCTCCCGTGCTGCCTCTCCTCCCCCCCCTCCCCATCCCCCCCTCTCCATCCCCCCTTCTCCATCCCCCCTTCTCCTCCCGCCCTCTCCTCCCGCCACCCCACCCTTCCCCCTACGGCGCGGCAGCCAGCTGGCGGGCAACCGCCTGGATGCGCCAGTGGCGAGCCAGGCTTCGGAGCTCTTCAACCTGCAGAAGCTGTGAGCGCTGCTGGGGGCCACGGGTGTGGGCCGTGGGTGTGGGTGGGTGGGTGGTGTGAAATATGGGGGTGTGTGGTTCTGTGTGCGCTGCTGGTTAGACCATGCATGCTTGTCGACACGGCCACTGGTGAGCCAGGTCTCGGAGCTCTTCAACCTGCAGAAGCTGTGAGCGCTGGGGTGAAGGAGAGCATGGGTGGGTGTGTGCGGAGTGGAATGTGGGTGTGTGTTGTTCTGTTGGTTGGAACATGCAACCGCCTCGATGCGCCCATGGCGAGCCAGGTCTCAGAGCTCTTCAACCCGCAGAAGCTGTGAGCGCTGCTGGGGGGCATGGGTGGAGTGGGGCATGGGTGGAGTGGGGCATGGGTGGGGTGGGGCATGGGTGGAGTGGGGCATGGGTGGGGTGGGGCATGGGTGGAGTGGGGCATGGGTGGGGTGGGGCATGGGTGGAGTGGGGCATGGGTGGGGTGGGGCATGGGTGGGGGCCATGAGGGCGTCAGGTGGAGCATGGGGGGTTCACGTCAACAGAGGGCAAACGAGGGCAGACGACTTGTGATGGTAGGTGAGCGGGAGATGTTGCTTGTGATGGCAGGTGAGTGGAAGATGTTGCTTGTACGGAAGGAAGGAACAAATGAGGGCGGCGGCATCTGCAAGGCATCTGCAAGGCATCTGCAAGGCATCTGCAAGGCATCTGCAAGGCATCTGCAAGGCATCTGCAAGGCATCTGCAAGGCATCTGCAAGGCATCTGCAAGGCATCTGCAAGGCAGCTGCAAGGCAGCTACAAGGCATCTGCAAGGCATCTGCAAGGCATCTGCAAGGCATCTGCAAGGCAGCTGCAAGGCAGCTACAAGGCATCTGCAAGGCATCTGCAAGGCATCTGCAAGGCATCTGCAAGGCATCTGCAAGGCAGCTGCAAGGCAGCTACAAGGCATCTGCAAGGCATCTGCAAGGCATCTGCAAGGCATCTGCAAGGAATCTGCAAGGCATCTGCAAGGCAGCTGCAAGGCAGCTACAAGGCATCTGCAAGGCATCTGCAAGGCATCTGCAAGGCATCTGCAAGGCATCTGCAAGGCATCTGCAAGGCATCTGCAAGGCATCTGCAAGGCAGCTGCAAGGCAGCTACAAGGCATCTGCAAGGCATCTGCAAGGCATCTGCAAGGCATCTGCAAGGCAGCTGCAAGGCAGCTACAAGGCATCTGCAAGGCATCTGCAAGGCATCTGCAAGGCATCTGCTGCAAGGCATCTGCAAGGCATCTGCAAGGCATCTGCAAAGCATCTGCAAGGCATCTGCAAGGCATCTGCAAGGCATCTGCTGCAAGGCAGCTGCAAGGCATCTGCAAGGCTTCTGCAAGGCATCTGCAAGGCATCTGCAAGGCATCTGCAAGGCATCTGCAAGGCATCTGCAAGGCATCTGCTGCAAGGCAGCTGCAAGGCATCTGCAAGGCAGCTGCAAGGCATCTGCAAGGCTTCTGCAAGGCATCTGCAAGGCATCTGCAAGGCATCTGCAAGGCATCTGCAAGGCGTCTGCAAGACTCATAGATGGATTACAGCCTTCATCAGTGCAAGGCATCTGCATGCCTCATCAACTCAACACTCACTCACTGCCCTTCTCTGCACGCGTCTCCCATCACCTCGTCGCCCATCACATCGCCCTCTCCCTGCACTGCACCCCGCCCCCTCCACTAATCTCTCTGCTCTAACCCCAGTCCGCTTCCCCTCCCTACAACCCCCACCCTTCCCCTATCTCCCCCATTCCCCCCACACCCACAGCCGATTTTTGAGGCGCCTCAAAAACCCCCACACCCACAGCCCCACCCATCTCCCCCTCCCCTCCCCTTCCTTCGCAGTGACCTGAGCAACAACCTCATCCCCGGCGCCTTGCCAGCGGGCCTGTCAGCGCTGACCGCCTTGGAGGTTCTCTCCCTCTCCTCCAACCAGCTCGCTGACTCCTTCCCCTTGGGGCTCTCTGCTCTCACGGCGCTCAAGCAGCTGTACGTGCATGCATGCACCTGTAAGCTCAAGCACCTGTACGCTCTCACTGCGTGCATGCATGTACCTGTAAGCAAGACAAGCTGCACGCATGCATGTGCTCAAGGAGCTGTACGTGCATGCATGCATGCAGCATGCGCGTAGCCCACCCACCGGCATCCATGCATGCATGTGTGCTCGCTGGAGCGAGTGGGTGCATGCATGTGTGCTCGCTGGAGCGAGTGGGTGCATGCATGTGTGCTCGCTGGAGCGAGTGGGTGCATGCATGTGTGCTCGCTGGAGCGAGTGGGTGCATGCATGTCTTGCACTGAATCCATCACAGCCTCGTCCTCTCTGCAATGCATCAGCCTGTTGACTTTAGCAGGGCGCTGAGAGGTGGTCAGAGGTGGTCAGAGGTGGTCAGAGGTGGTCAGAGGTGGTCAGAGGTTGTGATGAGGCACCTATAACGATGCCGCTACTCCCATCATCATGATCCCCCATCATCCCCCAACACCCTCCACCATCCCCCATCATCCCCCAACATCCCCCAACATCCCCCAGCACCCCCCACCATCCCCCACCATCCCCCACCATCCCCCACCATCCCCCACCATCCCCCACCATCAGCGCCCACCAAACCCATCCCCCTCCACCCCCCATACCAGGGAGTTGGGCAACAACAATTTCAACGGGCCTCTGCCCGACCAGTGGAGCACACTCACAGGCCTGCAGCTGCTGTGAGCCCCGCTCCGCCCCTCCCTGTGTGCTTGTGCACCCTCTGTTGATGCGCTCTCCTTCTGGACCTCTGCCTCACCACTGGAGCGCACTCGCACACCTGCCTGCGGCTGCTGTGAGCAACGCCCCTCCCTTCGCTCCCCCATGCATTGCTTCCCTCTCTTGTGTTCTGCCTCACCACTGGGGTGCGCTTTTTTATCTGCAGCTGCTGCTGCTTCTGGGCCCCTCCCCTCCCCTCCCCTCCCCTCCTCTCCCCTCCCCTCCTCCCTCCCTCCTCTAGCAATGTGCCGCCATGCCTTGAGCGTCCCCCTGCTTGTGTGGGTTGTTGCACTCTCCCTGACCCCTACCTCATCGCCAGACTGCATTCTCCTTCCTGCTGCTGCTGTCAACGAGAGAGCACCACCCGTCCTCTTCCTCCTCTCAAGAAATGCACTCGCAGTTTCCTTCTGCCCCCAGCAATCATTCTTCTGACCGCTTTTGTTCCGACCACTTGTGACGTTGTTGATGTGGCACCGCATTGCATCTCGTGGCAACCCTCCGACCCACGTCACAGAGTGCATCTAGATCGCCCCTTCACCTCCTCTCGCCTGACTCATCTCCACCCCTCCCCCCGACTCACGAGCACTGCTCCGTCTCTCCTTGCAACCCCCCCTCCCCCCCTCCCGCCCTCTCCACCTCCTCTCCCCTCGTCCTCCGCCCCCCTCCACCAGTGACCTCGCGGATGCGGGCGTGGTCCTTCCGCTGCCCGACTCCTGGGCGCCCCTCTCGTCCCTGGAGATCCTGTCCTGCAGAACAACAACCTCACAGGGCCCTTCCCACGTATCCCATCCAACGCCCTTCCCCCCTCCCCTCCCCCCTCCAGCGACCTTGCGGGTGCGGGCGTGGTGCTTCCGCTGCCCGACTCGTGGGCGGCGCTGTCCTCTCTGGAGACCCTCTCCCTGCAGAACAACAACCTCACCGCGCCCTTCCCCGCCTTCCTGCTGCAGCTGCCCAGCATCTCCGACGTGTGCGTGCTGTGCTGCTGCCTCTGCTGCTCCCACTGGCTCCGACATGCCAGTGCTGCTGCTGCTGTTTCTGTGCTGCTGCTGCACTTCCCTACTACTACTATCCTCCCTACTCCTGCTCCGGGCCCCTGCTACTGCATGGTTGTCACTGATCGCGCCAACATTCCATGCGAGTGCCCTCAGTCCATGCGAGTGCCCTCAGTCCATGCGAGTGCCCTCATTCCATGCGAGTGCCCTCATTCCATGCGAGTGCCCTCATTCCATGCGAGTGCCCTCATTCCATGCGAGTGCCCTCATTCCATGCTGCTGCCCTCATTCCATTGTGGAGAGTAACATCCTCTGTGCATTGTATCTCTTCCCCCCCCCCTCCCTCCCCCCTTCATTTTCCTCCCCAAACTCCACGCACCATTCTCTTTAAAAACAGCCTCTGCGCGTTGTTCTTCACACAAGCCATCTCTCGTACTCTCTCCCTCCCCCTCCCAACCTCTCCCCCTTCCCCTCGCCCCCCCACGCACCACACCCCCTCTCTGCGCAGAACTCTCCTCAACCGCAGCCTCTATGGCACCCTCTCCCCACGCCTTGTCCCTCCATGACCCTCCCTCCCTCATGACCCTCCCTCCCCCCTGACACACCGCAGAACTCTTTTCAACAACAGCCTCTACGGTAGCCTGCCTGCTACCCTCTGGAATCCCACCAAGCTGACCCTCGTGTGAGCAACCAGGAAATGTAACACTTAAATATGTGTACGTGTATATGCATTTGTATGCATATACATGTGTATGTATGTATGTTCAATCGAGGTAAGTTTAACTCTGTCGCTTGTTGGTTGGACCCCACTGCTGCGTAAGGCCAGTACAGCTAACCACACTTAGTCAAGTGTCCATCTTTTAACCATCCATCCCATCCGTACCCTTCTGTACCCATCAATGCCCCTCCATCACCGCACTCAACAGCCACCATCATCTGTCACCACCCCCCTGCACCCATCTGTCACCACCCCCCTGCACCCATCTGTCACCACCCCCCTGCACCCATCTGTCACCACCCCCCTGCACCCAGCGTGTTATAATCGCGCCCTCAAACCATGCCCCCCCTCTTCATAATCACACGGGCTCAACCAAGACCAGCATTCCTCCCATTCCTATTCATAATCATGCATCCCATACCAAGCCCCTTCCCTCCCCTGAACCATTTGGCTTCTTTCCCTTACTGTTGTCCCTCCACACCCACCCCTCCACACCCACCCCTCCACACCCACCCCTCCACACCCACCCCTCCATACCCTCCCCTCAACACCCACCCCTGAACACCCACCCCTGAACACCCACCCCTGAACACCCTCCCCTGAACACCCGCCCGTCTCCCCCACCCTGCAGCGAGGTGTCTTCCAACTTCCTGAACGGCTCAGTCCCTCAGCCGCCTGCTGGCCGCTCTGCTGACTTCAGGTACTGCTGGCCACCAATTCAGGCTCCGTGTTTTACATTCCTGTCCAACTCAAGGTGCATTGACTAGTGCCGTCTCCATTGGCTTGTGACTTTGCATGCACATTCGTCTCCACTCTCTGTTCTCCACTCTCTGTTCTCCACTCTCTGTTCTCCACTCTCTGTGCTCCACTCTCTGTTCTCCACTCTCTGTTCTCCACTCTCTGTTCTCCACGCTCTGTTCTCCACTCTCTGTTCTCCATGCTCTGTTCTCCACTCTCTGTTCTCCACTCTCTGTTCTCCTCTCTCTGTTCTCCACTCTCTGTTCTCCACTCTCTGTTCTCCGCTCTCTGTTCTCCGCTCTCTGTTCTCCACTCTCTGTTCTCCACTCTCTGTTCTCCGCTTTCTATTCATGTCCCCACCAACTGCCTGCACCCAGCGCCGTCCCTGCAGCTGCCTGTCACGTGCCGCTCACGGCTCGTGTCTCTCGCGCCTCTCACATCTCTCTCCTCTGCGTTCACCTCTCTCCCACCCCTCGCCCCCCCACCAGCTACAGCACCAACTGCCTGCAGTCGGCGCCGTCCCAGCGGCCCACGGACCAGTGCTCGAGCTTCTACTCCAACCTGCCCGCGCTCGTCCAAGCTGGTACCGCTCCCCCCACCGTTGTACCCCTCCCCCCACCGTTGTACCCCTCCCCCCACCGTTGTACCCATTCCCCCACCGTTGTACCCATTCCCCCACCGTTGTACCCATTCCCCCACCGTTGTACCCCTCCCCCCACCGTTGTACCCATTCCCCCACCGTTGTACCCATTCCCCCACCGTTGTACCCATTCCCCCACCGTTGTACCCATTCCCGCACTGTTGTACCCATTCCCCCACCGTTGTACCCATTCCCCCACCGTTGTACCCATTCCCCCACCGTTGTACCCATTCCCCCACCGTTGTACCCCTCCCCCCACCGTTGTACCCATTCCCCCACCGTTGTACCCCTCCCCCCACCGTTGTACCCATTCCCCCACCGTTGTACCCATTCCCCCACCGTTGTACCCATTCCCCCACCGTTGTACCCATTCCCGCACTGTTGTACCCATTCCCCCACCGTTGTACCCATTCCCCCACCGTTGTACCCATTCCCCCATTACATATGTTGCTGGAGTCACACCTGCATGCCCATCCATGCACACCTGCATGCCCATCCATGCACACCTGCATGCCCATCCATGCACACCTGCATGCCCATCCATGCACACCTGCATGCCCATCCATGCACACCTGCATGCCCATCCATGCACACCTGCATGCCCATCCATGCACACCTGCATGCCCATCCAACACATCTCGTTGCTTTGGCTTTGCTTGCGACCAAACTTCTCACCCACCCACCCCGCCCATCCCACCCCACCACCCCTCGCCAGCGGCTGAGAAGGCGCGCTCCAAGGGATGTTCTGCAGTCAGCTCTTTGCAGTCGGCAGCAGCGGCCGCAGCTGCAGCCGCAGCGCTTCTTGCATCTCTCTCCCTGGCACTGATGCACTAGCGCCACGCATGGACTAGCAAGGGCAGATCATGCCCCTTAGGACGCATTCATCCCACTGACGCGCTTAGCTGGTTTGGTAGTCCGTTGCAACTTCAAAATGTTGCCAAGTTAGAGCCGATGGGTTTTTAGCCTGGGTTGGTAATAAATGTCAAAGCATTTCACATAAATTAGGGCGACAGCATACAAAAGAAAAGAAGTGTATTGGGCATTAGAAAAGAGAAATAATGTAAAATTGGACAAGTTGAACAATATAATTATGCATAATTGTATACTCCATTGATGCCCTTTCATGACATTTGACGTTTATCTACGTGTTCATTTGTATGCATCTGGTGCCACAAGCTGCCATTCACTAGCGGGACGCAAGTCACTAATATTAGTTGGCCCCGCGCAGGATCTCTAACTATCTAACGCGAGGAACTAGCCCTCATTTTAGGCTTCAATCCAGGTACCTAGGTCGCACTTAACTAGAGGCTTTAGGTTCCTAGTAGGGCCATCCGCGGGGGTGTTAGCGCACGTGCCCTAATCCCAGCGTGCACGCGTCTCGAAGCGCATTTCTGCTTGCATCGCTTACAACGAGGCTCCTTAAAGAGCGCTTCAGGAGAAATAGCATTAGAGGGTTCTTTGCGCACTTGCCTCCGCTTCCGCGTGTTTCTTCCCCCTTCCCCCCCCCCCCCGCATGTGGAAGCGCAAATTCTCCGCAGCCGGCGGAGATGCTTCCGCCGACCCTTCCGCCTCGCGCGGCCGTGGCGCCGGTGGCGGAAGCGGCTTTGGATTCGTGCGCTCCGGGGGAAGCGCGTACACGCCGCCCGTGAACCCCTCCGGCTCGTACGGCGGCTTCAGCGGCGGCGGCAGCTTCGCCGGCTACCGCGGCGGCGGCTCTGGGCGGCGGTCAGTGCCGGACGACGAGGATGACGATTTAGCGGATATCGAATACCGCGATGACGGGGATGGCGCAGCGGATGAGCAAAACGGGGGAAGAGGAGGCGCACGGGGTGAAGCGGACGAGGGTAACGGAGGGGTGACGGCGCGGGGCAACGGGGGAAATGAGGCGGAGGGGGAGGCGGAGGGGGAGGCGGAGGAGGCGGAGGAGGCGGAGGAGGATCCGCTGGACGCGTTCATGCAGGGGATCGAGAAGACCGTCGAGAAGGAGTCCGCCGCCGCCACCAGGCGCGCGGCGGAGCGCGCAGCCGCAGGCGCGAAGGGCGGGGCGGGCGGAGCGTCGGGGGAAGCGGCGGAGCGGGAGAAGCCAGAGCGGGAGGACTGGCGCGCGGAGGAGGAGGAGGCGGATCTGCTGGACTCGTTCCTCAGCGCGCGCAAGAGCGCGGGACTGTCGGTGGCGGCGGAAGCCGTCATGGGGCGCGGGTACGACTCTGACGAGGAGGTTTACGCCGCCGCCAAGGCCGTCGATGCGGCTGCCGCCGCCGCCGCCGCCGCCGGTGCTGCTGGCGGCGCGGCGGGATCCGCGTTAGAGTACGACTCGGACGACAACCCGATAGTGCCGGATTCGGTAACGTCGTTAAAGAGCAAGATGGATGCGCTCGGCCACGTGGACCACTCCGCGATCGACTACGACGAGTTCGAAAAGGCGTTCTACGAGGAGCATCCTGACGTGGCCGCCATGCCAGCAGCTGACGTGGCGGCGCGGCTGTCCGCCCTCTCGATCCGCACGTCGGGGTACGACGTCCCACGCCCGATCACCGCGTTCGCGCACGCCGCGCTCCCCCCCGCGCTGATGGGCGCCGTGCGCAAGCACGGGTACTCCGCGCCCACCCCCATCCAGTCCGCCGCGCTCCCCGTCATCCTCAGCGGTCGTGACGTCATCGGCGTCGCGAAGACGGGCTCGGGGAAAACCGCGGCGTTCGTGCTCCCGCTGATCGTCCACGCCGCGGACCAGCCGCGCGCGGGGCGCGGGGAAGGCCCGATCGCGCTGATCTGCGCGCCGACGCGCGAGCTCGCGGCGCAGATCCACGGCGAGGCGCGGCGGTTCGGGAAGCCGTTAGGGTTAAGAGTGAGCGGCGTGTTCGGCGGGATGTCGAAATTCGAGCAGTTCAAAGAACTCAAGGGCGGGGTCGAGGTGGTGGTAGCCACCCCGGGGCGACTAATCGACATGCTGAAGATGAAAGCTCTATCCCTCCGGCGCTGCACGTTCCTGGTCCTAGATGAAGCAGACATGATGTTCCACCTGGGGTTCGAGCCGCAGGTGAGGGCCATTGTGGGGCAGATCCGCCCCGACCGCCCACCTGCTCTGTTTCTCATCAGTGCTAGTCTGCTCTCACCTCTCGCGTGCCATCCATCCTCCTGGCCTCTTCTCTCTCCCTTCCTCCCCTTCCCCTCGTCCACGATGCCCCCTCGTCCACGAGGCCCCCTCGTCCACGATGCCCCCTCGTCCACGATGCCCCCTCGTCTCCACCTGGGCATCGCCTGGGGCAGGTGCGCGCCATGGTGGGGCTCAAGAGTGCGAGTCCGCTCTCTCTTTCTCCCCGTCCCCTCGTCTCCTCCAGGTGCGCGCCATCGTGGCGCAGATCCGCCCCGACCGCCAGACGCTGCTCTTCTCCGCCACCATGCCCCGCCGGATCGAGCGCCTGGCACGGGACATTCTCACCCACCCGGTGCGGATCACGGTGGGCGAGGTGGGCGCGGTGAACCTGGACATCCGGCAGCAGGTGCAGGTGCTGGCGGGGGACGACGCCAAGCTGCCGTGGCTGCTCGGCGCGCTGGGGGGGAGAGTCGACGAGGGGGACGTGCTCGTCTTCGCCGGGACCAAGGCCAAGGTGGAGGCTGTAGCGCCGGCTGTAGCGGGCGCGGGGTTCAAGGTTGGCGCGCTGCACGGGGACCTGGACCAGGCGCGGCGGAGCGAGGTGGTGCGGCAGTTGAAGAAGGGCGAGCTGCACGTGGTTGTAGCCACGGATGTAGCGGCCAGGGGGCTGGACATACGGTCGATCAAGACGGTGATTAATCTGGACAGCGCGAGGGACATGGACGCGCACGTGCACCGGGTGGGGCGGACGGGGAGGGCGGGCGACACGGACGGAGTGGCCATCTCGGTGGTGACGGGCAAGGAGGCGCGGTTCGCAGGCGAGCTGGTGGGGTGCCTGGTGGCGGGCGGGCAGGAGGTGCCTCCGGAGTTGTTGGACCTCGCAATGAAGGTGAGCCGGGGGACACGGCGGACGGGCGGGGGGGGCGGGGAGGGCAGAAGGGTGGGGATGGCGGAAGGTTGGCGAGGGCGGAAGGGTGGGGAGGGCGGAAGGGTGGGGAGGGCGGAAGGGTGGGGAGGGCGGAAGGGTGGGGAGGGCGGAAGGGTGGGGAGGGCGGAAGGGTGGGGATGGCGGAAGGGTGGGGAGGGCGGAAGGGTGGGGATGGCGGAAGGGTGGGGAGGGCGGAAGGGTGGGGATGGCGGAAGGGTGGGGATGGCGGAAGGGTGGGGAGGGCTGGGGACATGAACGGATCGAGGGACATGGAGCAGCACGTGCACAGAGTGGGGAGGACGGGGTGGGGAGGAAGGGCCGGGCAGGGGCCCGGATGGAGTGGCGATCTCGGTGGTGACGGGGAGGGAGGCGAGATTCGCGGGGGAGCTGGTGGGGTGTCTGGTGGCGGGCGGGCTGGAGGTGCCGCCAGAGTTGCCGGACCTGGCGATAAAAGTGAGCCTGGGGAAGGGGTGGGGAGGAGAGGATGGGGAGGGCGGGTGAGGGGAGGGTTGGGGACTTGAACCGAGCGAGGGACATGGACACGCGCGTGCATAGAGTAGGGCGGGCAGGGTGGGGAGGACGGGCAGGGTGGCGCACACGGATGGAATGGAGGCCTCGGTGCCATAGGGCAAGGGGCAAGGGGCAAGGGGCAAGGGGCAAGGGGCAAGGGGCAAGGGGCAAGGGGCAAGGGGCAAGGGGCAAGGGGCAAGGGGCAAGGGGCAAGGGGCAAGGGGCAAGGGGCAAGGGCAAGGGGCAAGGGGCAAGGGGCAAGGGGCAAGGGGCAAGGGGCAAGGGCAAGGGGCAAGGGGCAAGGGGCAAGGGGCAAGGGGCAAGGGGCAAGGGGCAAGGGGCAAGGGGCAAGGGGCAAGGGGCAAGGGGCAAGGGGCAAGGGGCAAGGGGCAAGGGGCAAGGGGCAAGGGGCAGGGGGCAAGGGGCAAGGGGCAAGGGGCAAGGGCAAGGGGCAAGGGGCAAGGGGCAAGGGGCAAGGGGCAAGGGGCAAGGGGCAAGGGGCAAGGGGCAAGGGGCAAGGGGCAAGGGCAAGGGGCAAGGGGCAAGGGGCAAGGGGCAAGGGGCAAGGGGCAAGGGGCAAGGGCAAGGGGCAAGGGGCAAGGGGCAAGGGGCAAGGGGCAAGGGGCAAGGGGCAAGGGGCAAGGGGCAAGGGGCAAGGGGCAAGGGGCAAGGGGCAAGGGGCAAGGGGCAAGGGCAAGGGGCAAGGGGCAAGGGGCAAGGGGCAAGGGGCAAGGGGCAAGGGGCAAGGGCAAGGGGCAAGGGGCAAGGGGCAAGGGGCAAGGGCAAGGGGCAAGGGGCAAGGGGCAAGGGGCAAGGGGCAAGGGGCAAGGGGCAAGGGGCAAGGGGCAAGGGGCAAGGGCAAGGGGCAAGGGGCAAGGGGCAAGGGGCAAGGGGCAAGGGCAAGGGGCAAGGGGCAAGGGGGCAAGGGGCAAGGGGCAAGGGGCAAGGGGCAAGGGGCAAGGGGCAAGGGGCAAGGGGCAAGGGGCAAGGGGCAAGGGGCAAGGGGCAAGGGGCAAGGGGCAAGGGGCAAGGGGCAAGGGGCAAGGGGCAAGGGGCAAGGGGCAAGGGGCAAGGGGCAAGGGGCAAGGGGCAAGGGGCAAGGGGCAAGGGGCAAGGGGCAAGGGGCAAGGGGCAAGGGGCAAGGGGCAAGGGGCAAGGGGCAAGGGGCAAGGGGCAAGGGGCAAGGGGCAAGGGCAAGGGGCAAGGGGCAAGGGGCAAGGGGCAAGGGGCAAGGGGCAAGGGGCAAGGGGCAAGGGGCAAGGGGCAAGGGGCAAGGGGCAAGGGGGGGGCAAGGGGGGGGGGGCAAGGGGCAAGGGGCAAGGGGCAAGGGGCAAGGGGCAAGGGGCAAGGGGCAAGGGGCAAGGGGCAAGGGGCAAGGGGCAAGGGGCAAGGGGCAAGGGCAAGGGGCAAGGGGCAAGGGGCAAGGGGCAAGGGGCAAGGGCAAGGGGCAAGGGGCAAGGGGCAAGGGGCAAGGGGCAAGGGGCAAGGGGCAAGGGCAAGGGGCAAGGGGCAAGGGGCAAGGGGCAAGGGGCAAGGGGCAAGGGGCAAGGGGCAAGGGGCAAGGGGCAAGGGGCAAGGGGGGGCAAGGGGCAAGGGGCAAGGGGCAAGGGGCAAGGGGCAAGGGGCAAGGGGCAAGGGGCAAGGGGCAAGGGGCAAGGGGCAAGGGGCAAGGGGCAAGGGGCAAGGGGCAAGGGGCAAGGGGCAAGGGGCAAGGGGCAAGGGGCAAGGGGCAAGGGGCAAGGGGCAAGGGGCAAGGGCAAGGGGCAAGGGGCAAGGGGCAAGGGGCAAGGGGCAAGGGGCAAGGGGCAAGGGGCAAGGGGCAAGGGGCAAGGGGCAAGGGCAAGGGGCAAGGGGCAAGGGGCAAGGGGCAAGGGGCAAGGGGCAAGGGGCAAGGGCAAGGGGCAAGGGGCAAGGGGCAAGGGGCAAGGGGCAAGGGGCAAGGGCAAGGGGCAAGGGGCAAGGGGCAAGGGGGCAAGGGGCAAGGGGCAAGGGGCAAGGGGCAAGGGGCAAGGGGCAAGGGGCAAGGGGCAAGGGGCAAGGGGCAAGGGGCAAGGGCAAGGGGCAAGGGGCAAGGGGCAAGGGGCAAGGGGCAAGGGGCAAGGGGCAAGGGGCAAGGGGCAAGGGGCAAGGGGCAAGGGGCAAGGGGCAAGGGGCAAGGGGCAAGGGGCAAGGGGCAAGGGGCAAGGGGCAAGGGGCAAGGGGGCAAGGGGCAAGGGGCAAGGGGCAAGGGGCAAGGGGCAAGGGGCAAGGGGCAAGGGGGCAAGGGGCAAGGGGCAAGGGGCAAGGGGCAAGGGGCAAGGGGCAAGGGGCAAGGGGCAAGGGGCAAGGGGCAAGGGGCAAGGGGCAAGGGGCAAGGGGCAAGGGGCAAGGGGCAAGGGGCAAGGGGCAAGGGGCAAGGGGCAAGGGGCAAGGGGGCAAGGGGCAAGGGGCAAGGGCAAGGGGCAAGGGGGCAAGGGGCAAGGGGCAAGGGGCAAGGGGCAAGGGGCAAGGGGCAAGGGGCAAGGGGCAAGGGGCAAGGGGCAAGGGGCAAGGGGCAAGGGGCAAGGGGCAAGGGGCAAGGGGCAAGGGGCAGGGCAAGGGGCAAGGGGCAAGGGGCGGCAAGGGGCAAGGGGCAAGGGGGGCAAGGGGCAAGGGGCAAGGGGCAAGGGGCAAGGGGGGGGCAAGGGGCAAGGGGCAAGGGGCAAGGGGCAAGGGGCAAGGGGCAAGGGGCAAGGGGCAAGGGGCAAGGGGCAAGGGGCAAGGGGCAAGGGGGGGGCAAGGGGCAAGGGGCAAGGGGCAAGGGGCAAGGGGCAAGGGGCAAGGGGCAAGGGGCAAGGGGCAAGGGGCAAGGGGCAAGGGGCAAGGGGCAAGGGGCAAGGGGGCAAGGGGCAAGGGGCAAGGGGGGGCAAGGGGCAAGGGGCAAGGGGGGGGCAAGGGGCAAGGGGCAAGGGGCAAAGGGGCAAGGGGCAAGGGGCAAGGGGCAAGGGGCAAGGGGCAAGGGGCAAGGGGCAAGGGGCAAGGGGGGCAAGGGGCAAGGGGCAAGGGGCAAGGGGCAAGGGGCAAGGGGCAAGGGGCAAGGGGCAAGGGGCAAGGGGCAGGGGCAAGGGGCAAGGGGCAAGGGGCAAGGGCAAGGGGCAAGGGGCAAGGGGCAAGGGGCAAGGGGCAGGGGCAAGGGGCAAGGGGCAAGGGGCAAGGGGCAAGGGGCAAGGGGCAAGGGGCAAGGGGCAAGGGGCAAGGGGCAAGGGGCAAGGGGCAGGGGCAAGGGGCAAGGGCAAGGGGCAAGGGGCAAGGGCAAGGGGCAAGGGGCAAGGGGCAAGGGGCAAGGGGCAAGGGGCAAGGGGCAAGGGGCAAGGGGCAAGGGGCAAGGGGCAAGGGGCAAGGGGCAAGGGGCAAGGGGCAAGGGGCAAGGGGCAAGGGGCAAGGGGCAAGGGGCAAGGGGCAAGGGGCAAGGGCAAGGGGCAAGGGGCAAGGGGCAAGGGGCAAGGGGCAAGGGGCAAGGGGCAAGGGGCAAGGGGCAAGGGGCAAGGGGCAAGGGGCAAGGGGCAAGGGGCAAGGGGCAAGGGGCAAGGGGCAAGGGGCAAGGGGCAAGGGGCAAGGGGCAAGGGGCAAGGGGCAAGGGGCAAGGGGCAAGGGGCAAGGGGCAAGGGGCAAGGGGCAAGGGGCAAGGGGCAGGGGCAAGGGGCAAGGGGCAAGGGGCAAGGGGCAAGGGGCAAGGGGCAAGGGGCAAGGGGCAAGGGGCAAGGGGCAAGGGGCAAGGGCAAGGGGCAAGGGGCAAGGGGCAAGGGGCAAGGGGCAAGGGGCAAGGGGCAAGGGGGCAAGGGGCAAGGGGCAAGGGGCAAGGGGCAAGGGGCAAGGGGCAAGGGGCAAGGGGCAAGGGGCAAGGGGCAAGGGGCAAGGGGCAAGGGGCAAGGGCAAGGGGCAAGGGGCAAGGGGCAAGGGGCAAGGGGCAAGGGGCAAGGGGCAAGGGGCAAGGGGCAAGGGGCAAGGGGCAAGGGGCAAGGGGCAAGGGGCAAGGGGCAAGGGGCAAGGGGCAAGGGGCAAGGGGCAAGGGGCAAGGGGCAAGGGGCAAGGGGCAAGGGGCAAGGGGCAAGGGGCAAGGGGCACGAAGGCGAGCGTGGGGGGGTGGTGCTGCTGTGCTGCTGTGCTGCTGTGCTGCTGTGCTGCTGTGCTGCTGTGCTGCTGTGCTGCTGTGCTTCTGTGCTGCTGTGCTGCTGTGCTGCTGTGCTGCTGTGCTGCTGTGCTGCTGTGCTGCTGTGCTGCTGTGCTGCTGTGCTGCTGTGCTGATGTGCTGCTGTGCTGCTGTGCTGCTGTGCTGATGTGCTGCTGTGCTGCTGTGCTGCTGTGCTGCTGTGCTGCTGTGCTGATGTGCTGCTGTGCTGCTGTGCTGCTGTGCTGCTGTGCTTATGTGCTTATGTGCTGCTGTGCTGCTTTGCTGATGTGCTGCTGTGCTGCTGTGCTGATGCAGGTGGTTGTACCAGCATGGGGAGCTGGTGTGTACGGGCCGCGTGCTTGTTTGGAGGTGGAAGTGCTGTTTTGCTATCCAAATCCTCGCTTGTCTCATCTCTCTCCCTTGCTAAACTCTTGCTCCTCACCTCCTGTCATCCCTCCCCCCCTCCCTCTCTTCCCCCTCCTTGCTTGCTTGTTACTCGCAGGATTCTCGCTTCAGAGCCCAGCGAGAGGGACGAGGAGGTGAGCCACTCGCCTTCCCTGCTGCGCCGCAGTCTGGCACTCACTTATTTATCACACGCACTCACCCACTCTTCCACGTCCTCCCAACCCTCTTGGCTTGGCCCGACACTGCACTCCACTGCTCTGGGCTCTCTGCTCGCCAAGGGCCGCCTTGTCGCTGCGCCCTCCATGCTGTGATTGCGTCACCGTAGTCAGTTTCAAGGTCCCTCGGAGCACACAGCAGGATTAGCTAGTGACCCTTGCAGAATCATATCAGGATCGGCTCAGGTTGATGACACGGCTAGTGACCCCTACTTTTCCTCAGCCCACCTCCTCAGCCCACCTCCTCAGCCCACCTCCTCAGCCCACCTCCTCAGCCCACCTCCTCAGCCCACCTCCCAACCTTTTGCCCGCATGCCTCTCCCCTGCTCTGCCACCTCCTGCGACCTTCTCACCTCTTCTCACCTCTTCTCACCTCTTCTCACCTCTTCTCACCTCGCTCCATCCTTCGTGCATGGCGTATGACCAGATCTTTCTCTGTGCACCCTTCCCCCTCGCCTCTCCAGACACCTCTCCCTCCGTCTCCCCCTGCTCCTATCCCTCCATCGCCCCCCTCTCTCTCCCCCCTTGCCTCTCCCGTCCCATTGCCGCCCTTCATTTCCTTTCGTCTCTCCCATCTCTCCTCTCCCCCAACCCCCCTCTCTATATCCATCTCATTTTTTCCCATTCTTCTCTCTCCTCGCCCCCCTCCCCCCGTTCCCCTCGCCCCCTGCAGGGTTCCGCAGGGGCAAGGGGGGCAAGGGGGGAGGGGGCGGGGGGAGGGGAGCAAGGGGCGTGGACTATGGCATGGGGCTGGGTTTCCAGGAGGGGGGCGGGGGAGGGGGAGGGGGGGGTGGTGGAGTAGGCGGGGGAGGGGGGAGAGGTATAGGGGCGAAAGGGGGAGGGAGAGGAGGTGGGGCGAATGCGTTTGTGTCGGGAGGGTCTCTGGGTGTTGGTGGCGCTGCTGGTGTGGCTGCTGCTTCTGCTGCCAGCAGCAGCAGCAGGGCGAACACGCGACTGGGGGCGGTGGACGCGCTGCGAGTGGGCATGATTGCCAAGTTCAAGTCGTCCTTCGTTGCTGCCTCCGCCCCCCACCCCCACGACCCCGTCCCTGACCTCCCCCCTCCGCCACCTCCTGCTGCTCCTGCTGCTCCGGCGGCTCCTTCACTTCCTCCTCCACCTCCTCTTCCTGCTGCATTTGCTGCACCACCAGCAACACCAGGAGCGCAAGCGCCAGCATGGGGGGTGGGCGCCAGTGCTGCTGGGGACAGAGCTATGGGGGCAGACGCAGTGGCAGCAGCCATAGCAGCCGCTGCAGCCAAGGCAGCTGCCATCGCTGCCAGCCTGGGCCTGCAGCAACCTGCTGCGAGAGGAGGAGGTGTGGGAGGAGGGGCGGTGGTGGGGACAGTTGCAGGCATGTGTGCACCTGCAGGTGGAGGTGATGGCCAAGGGGAGGCGGCAGGAAGAGGGCAGGAGGGAGACCGGGACAGGGAAAGAGACAGAGAGAGTGAGAGGGAGAGGGAGAGGGAACGGGACAGATACAGAGATAGGGAGAGAGGTAGTGAGAGGGATAGGGAGAGACACGGGGATAGGGATCGTGACAGGCACCGGGACAGGGATCGGGACAGGTATGGTGGGAGGGATCGGGATAGGGATAGATATGGCGAGAAGGAGCGAGATGGAGGCCGCGAAAGGGACAGGGAGAGGGAGAGGGAGAGAGAGGAGAGGGGCAGAGGGAGGGATGAGGAAGGGAGATCTCCCCGCCGACATGACAGCCAGCGGCAGCGGTCAAGCCGATGGGGGTGAGGGGGAGGGGAAGAGGGAGGAGGGGAAGCAAGAAGGGGCGAGGATGGGGATAGAGACGTGGGTGAGGGCGCGGACGGAGGCGAGGATGGGGGCGAGGAGCTGCCGTCGGGATTGCAGAGGGCGTGTAGTGGACTGACAGTCGTGGGTGTTCCCATTGGGGAGGAGGACTGGGAGGTGGCGCAGGGGATGGGGAAGAGGCATGGGGAAGAGGGAGGGCGCCCCCATGCAGACAGGCGAGCCAGCCGCAGCGGGCAAGCCGATGGGGACAAGGAGGCGTGAAATGTAAGGGGGGTGGAGGAAAAGGGGGAGGGTGGCAGGAGGAAGGGATGAGGTCTTCAGGAAGACATGGGATGATGGGAGAATGTGGCAGCAGTGTGGCAGGGGGGATGAGAGGGAGTGTAGGTAAGCATTGTAAAGGCGGGCATTGTAAAGAGGGGCGTTGTATGTAAAGCACAGGTGAATTCATTGGCAGGGTTAGGTGATTGCAGGGCTGGGTGATTGCAGGGCTGCGTGATTGCAGGGGCTTGCACCACTGAGCCCCTTAGCGTCTGCTCCCCATGTGGCTTTGAGGCCTGTTCGTTTCCTCTAGGCAGGATGGTAACATGCCAGCATGACAGCTGATGTGGTTGTATCTTAGGGCATACTCCTACACACCAGGTTCAAGTTCTTAGGTACTAACGCGGTACTGTTCGGTGCAGGTGTTTGGATTGCGTTTCAGTGCGGTTCATTCTAGTTCTGAGCGGGTCTGATCCTGATCCCGGTGCATAGGAATACGCCCATATCTACTTGGCGAAATTACACACATCTGGTTGAGCTGGAACAGGGAGGTGAGGGAATGCTGTCAAACATGTATTGTTATGTTTGTATAGACTGTTGAGGTTTGTGCCTTAGAGGGTACACCCCTTAGGTCATATACCCTTGTACTCATGCCTTCTACTCATTTATTCAATTTTGTTATGGTATCATGAGTAGGTAGGTCCGACCGCCCGCCCACGCTTCCGCCCTAGGCCCTAGCCGCTCGTTACCCCCCTAGCCGCGCCAGCCCTCGCGCCCGTTCTAGCCGGCCCTCCCTAGCGCCCGTTCCAGCCGGCCCTAGCGCCCGTTCCTGCCGGCCCCTAGCGCCCGTTCTAGCCGGCCCCCTTGCGCCCGTTCCAGCCGGCCCTCGCGCCCGTTCTAGCCAGCCCCTCGCGCCCGTTACAGCCGGCCCTTGCGCCCGTTATAGCCGGCCCTTCGCGCCCGTTCCAGCCGGCCCTTGCGCCCGTTCTAGCGGGCCCCGCGCGCTCGTTCCTGGCCAGCCATTCCGCCTGGCCAATGGACCGCACTGCACCGCTCTGCACCGCACTGCACTCCACAGCACCGCACTACACTGCACAGCACCGCTCTGCACCGCTCTGCACCGCACTGCACCACACTGCACCGCACTGCACCGCACTGCACCGCACAGCACCGCTCTGCACTGCACTGCACCGCTCTGCACCACACTGCACCGCTTTGCGCCGCACTGCACCGCTCTGCGCCGCACGGCACCGCACTGCACAGCACTGCTCCGCTGCTACATCGCTCCTGATGGCGGACTCCGTGCTCCGCTTCAACGCAGAGGGTCAGCCGCTTGAGTTTGACATGTGGCTGGTCGACCTCCGCCGTCATCTCACTGGTCAGCGGGAGGACGGCCACTCCCTGGCTGTCCACCTTGACGGTACGCTTCCCTGTCCTGACCCCCCTGCTCCCCTGCCCGCTGACCCCTCGTCCGCTGACCGTGAGTCCGCTGCAGCTGCTGCCCTTGCCCGCTCAGTCTGGCTGTCGCGTGACGCCATCGCGCAGCTTGCGATCAGTCATGCCCTCCCCCTGTCTGAGCGCCCCCGCTTTCGGTCAGTCACGACTGCGCAGGAATTCCTAGATGCCGTTGTCAAACGCTATTCCACCCCGCTTGATGCCTCTGTAGATCGCCTGATCCTACCCATGCTCTTCCCTGACCTTGCGTCTTTCCCTACTGTCGCTGACCTGGCCGCTCACCTGCGCACGATAGACGCGACATGGCGCTCTGCCTGCACTGAGACCCAGCTTAGAGCCTTTCAGCCGCCCCTCTGCTCTACCCTCTACCTGCTTGCCACCCGCCTCCCTGACCGTCTTGCTAGTGCCCGCGATCGCTTTCTTAGCATCCACCCCGGTGACCTCACCCTCACTGACTTTGTCGACACCTTGTCTGCCATAGAGACCCGCCAGTGCTCTATCGCCCAGACCAGCGGTACTGTGCCAGTCCCTATCGTCCAGGGTTGTGCCCTCGCTCAGTGCACCTTCTCCGACGGTTCTGCTGCCATGGCTGAGACCGCAACTGCAGTATAGTTCCGTCTGGGGAAGGGTCGCCGCCCCAAGGCTGGGCACGGCGGTGGGGGTGGTGGTGCAGGTGGAGGTGGTGGTGGCGTCGGGTCGCCCGGTGGTAGCGCAAACGAGGGGACCGTGCCTGGTGCAGCCGAGCAGCCGTCTCAGCAGCCGCAGGTGTCGCAGCCGGACCCGCACCAGCCGCAGCAGCAGCCCCAGCACCAGCCGCAACAGCCGCAGCCGCAGCAGCAGAGGCGGGCAAAACTGCAGCAGGAGCAGCAAGTGGCGTCGCGTAGTGGAGTCGTGGAAGAAACACCGGGAAGCGCCAGAGTCCAGGGTGAAGGAGAGCACAGCAGTGGCGGCCGGAGTCGGAGCAACGAGGGAAGAACCAAGGCTAAACAAGGCAGGGGATCCTACGCCTGACGCAGCAGGGGAGGCAAGACTAGACACGCCTACACTAGGCAACAACGGGTAGTAAGAAACAGTCACACTAGAGTCATCAGCATACAGCACATGCAGGATAGAACAAAGCTCATCCATGTCCATATAAAAAATCGGAACACTACGGCAAAGCAAGCTGTGCCAGTCGGGGAGGTCGGGCGACGGGCCGAAGCGCTGACGAAACAGGTCGTCCAGGCGACGAAAACAGCGGACGGAGGAGTGACCGATCTTACCGCAAACGAAGCCACGGCGAGGAGCAGGAGCAGCTGACCCCTCCTCCGGCCCGGTAGTCGCCCGCAGTTCCACCACCCTTCCCTGTCCAGCGGTTCCTTCGGGCTCTCTTACAGGCTTGTACATCCACTCGTTCTCCAGGAACCTAGTTGGTGTCGGCTGCCTCCAAGACCTTGGCGTCACCACTACGTTCCCTGGTTACGAGCGGTATGCTGTCTGTACCGAGGCCACCACTGGTGTCCCCCTCACCACGTTCCCCCAGGACCCGGTGTCCGGCCTATTCACACTGGACACCGCGACCCCTCCGGTTGGGACGTCTCCTCGGGTGGCTGCGTCTACCCAGGTTGCTGCGGCCTGCTCCTGTCGGTCGCTCACTCACCAGACACTCCTGTGGCACCACCGTCTAGGTCACCCTGCACTCCCGCGTTTGCGTTACATGTCATAGCACAATCTTGTCCTAGGTCTCCCAGGGTCGTTCCCCGAAATTCCCTCCTCCCCAGCACCACCGTGCACACCTTGTGTCGATGGCCGGCTCCGCCGTGCCCCTCACTCCTCCTCGTTCCCCGCCACCGCCGCACCGCTACAGACCCTGCACATGGACGTCTGGGGCCCCGCCCCCATCCATGGGCCGCGTCGAGAGGGCTACTTCCTTGTGCTTGTCGACGACTACACGCGCTACACCACGGTGTTTCCCTTGGAGCGGAAGGCCGACGGGCCTGGCGTTCTCATCCCGTGGCTTGTCTCTGCGCGTGTCCACCGCGGTCTCCCTGACCTGCGTCTCCACTCCCGCCGTGGTGGCGGGTTTGCCTCTGGTGTCCTTGGTCATTTCTATCATGCGGAGGGCATCACCCAGACGTTCACCTTGCCAGACTCCCTGCAGCAGAATGGGGTCGCTGAGCGACGCATCAGTTTGGTCATGGAGGTGGCTCGTACCTCCATGATCCATGCTGGTGCACCCCATTTTCTGTGGCCGTTCGCCACTCGCTACGCAGCTCACCAGCTTAACATGTGGCCGCACCCCCAGCAGCAGCAGGTTTCAATGACCCTTCTTTGGTCCGGGTCTCCAGGTGCCGCGTCTGCGTTCCACGTCTGGGGCTGCCTTGCTCACATCCATGCCTCTGGCACGGACAAGCTCACTGCCCGCACCGTCCCCTGTGTCTTCCTTGGTTTCCCCCTCGACTCATTTGACTGGCACTTCTACCACCCCCCGTCCCACTGTTTCTTTCACTCCCGCGACGTCACCTTTGACGAGTCCGTCGCCTTCTACTGTCGCTTCCCCCACCGTGGTCCCCCAGTTACTCCCCCCCTGTTCCTGGTCCCCCCTTCCCCGGTGGCCCCTGCCCCTCCCCCTCCCCCTCCCCGTACTGCCCCGTATGGTGTGTCTCACGTCACCCCCCTCACTTCGGCTGTCCCGGTTGAGGAGTCTGCTGACTCTGGTGGCCCTGCGGCGCAATCCTTGCTGCCTGCCCCTCCCCAGGTGTCTCCTCCTCTGCCGCCTCCACAGCCGCCGTCGCCGTCGCTGTCGCAGCCGCCGTCACCGCCGCCGCAGCCGTCGCCGCAGCCGCCCCCGCAGGCGTCGCCACCGCCGTCGCAGCAGCAATTTGTTGCCTCTGGGGGTGCTGGCGTCGAGGTGGGTACTCGTCCTGGGGTTCCTGTCGTGGCTTGTCCCGGCGGGCCTGGGGGTGGTACCAGTGCTGGAGGGGTTTCGGGCTCTGGGGGTGTTCCTTCTAGGGGTGCTGGAGTGGAGTGTTCTGGAGGTAGCCGTGGAGCAGCTTGCGGTCCCGGTGTCGGTATTGTGCCGCCGCAGCAGCAGTCACCGCCGGTGTCAGCCCTTCGTCTGCTCGGCCTTCCGTCCCCTGACCATGCGTCTGTGCCTCTCCTACCGTCTCCTCCTCTTCCTATCTATGGCCATGTGTTCCCTTCTTAGGACTCGTCACCGGCTCGTCTTCCCCCTCGTTCCCCTCCTGTGTCCCCTCCTCTGTCTCCTGACCCAACTCCACCGTCTCACGTCTGGTCTCGCCGTCCCTCCCGTGCTCGCCCCGTCTCCCCTGTCCCGAGCGCTCACCCTATGTTGCTTTGTTCCCACGAGTCTCGTCCTCCCCTCCTACCGTCGCCTCCTCCGTCCTCCCTTGTTGCACCTCCCCCTCTGTCTGACTACTTTCACGCCGCTCGTCCTCTTGTTCCTCGGGCTCTTGCCTCTCTCATTACCGACCCGTCTGTTCCGGTCTCGTGTCTTGACGCTCTTGTCGCTGCGGTTGCTGACTTCGCCTCTACCGGCCGCCTTGACTACGCCACCGCTCTGGTCTTTGACCCTGCCTGTTCTCCGTCTGTTGGGGGTGCTCCTGCCCTCGGCAGTGACGTCCTGGAGGACCGCCAGTACGAGCTTGCTTTCCTGTCCGAGGCTGCTCCCCATCTGTGTTCCATGCTGCTAGTCCCTTAGGGTGACCCAGACGCTTTCGACATCCCGACCCCTCGCACTTACGCTTAGGCGACCTCGGGACCTTGGGCCTCTCAGTGGATAGCTGCCATGGAGCAGGAGATGGCATCTTGTAGATCCACCGGCACCTATGTCGATGCAGTTCCCCCACCTGGGGTGAACGTAGTCGATGGCCGCTGGCTCTTCAAGGTGAAGCGCCCTCCTGGAGAGCCGTCTGTGTTCAAGGCGCGCTACGTGGCTAGAGGCTTCAGTCAGCATGAGGAGGTGGACTTCTTTCAGACTTTCGCCCCGACCCCGAAGATGACTACTCTTCGGGCACTTCTACGCGTAGCAGCACAGCGTGACCACGAGTTACACTCCCTCGACTTCTCCACTGCTTTTCTTCAGGGCAGTCTACACGAGCAGGTCTACCTGCGCCGCCCTCAGGGTTTTAGTGGTACCTTCCCTCCTGGGACCCAGTGGCTCCTGCGGTGCCTAGTCTACGGCT